TGTTTTGGGGGTTGCCGTTTTGGCCGCGGGGAGGGGATGTGTCTGGAGCCCCGTCCGAGGCCGCCGCTTTCCCGGGTGCAGGAGCGCAGGGAACGGGCCGGCGGCGTTCGAACCCGGGTCCCGCTCCGGCGCGGGTGCTTCTGTTTTATGATACCTGCGGTTACCGCCAGTTCACGTAACCAGACGGCTAACGGCAGAACGGAGAAATCGCAGTGTAAATGAGCGGATATGGAGTTCAAATGCACGCGTATTAATCTGGAGCTGAGGCAGTCCTGTAATTTGTGCATGCACGTAACCCGGCGATTATGTGCATTAGTGATAATTTAGTTATCAAAAAGCATAATTCCGCTGTAATTGCAGTATAACAGCAGTGTAAGCGCGGTCGGTGCATTATCGGCATTAACTCTGCTTCCCCGCTCAAACTGCAGGAATATGCTTGTTTACCGGGGCGTCGTATATCAAACTCAGCGGGGAGCGCTGGCTTCGGACGCGGCTCTCGCTTAGGCACCCGGACGGTGCCGCCGAGCACCTCTGCGCCGGGAGCGGAGGGCAACGCGCTGGCACGGGGTATCGATGCCTTAGGCAAGAGCCGGCTCCTTCCCTGCTGAGATCGAAAGCTGCAGAGGCGACGCCGGCTCTCCCCGGGCAGTTGCTCACCTGATGTGCTTAAAACGAAGGCCCCGGATATCTCGCTGTGCAGCTTCCCATGCCGTGCGTGCGCGCATGCTTTCCTCCCTAACATCGCTCCGCTTCATTTTTCACGCCAAGCCCGAGTCTTCGGAGCCGGCTTTTATTTCCGCCAGGCAGTAATGCTCGTTGCCGCGTTAGCAGCCAGCGCTCAAGCTGTTTGCTTTCTCGTGCGTTACCAGCCTGACCTGCGGTCTTGAGTTTTAGCGAAGCCTCGCGGTGTAAAGCCTTTGCAGTGCAGAGCGCTTCTGCTCCAGGCACGGACCGACCGCCTCGGCCCAAGGGCGCCCAGGAAACGTGCCCCAGGGGGTGGGTTATTTCATGAAGTGGGATATCCTTATTTAAAAAGAGGGGGGGAAAAAAACGCCTGGATCCAGCCCAGGCGGCAATTCCTCTGTCCCCGTGTTGATCCTTATTCGCTAGAGCCCGAGGCTGTTGCGGGCGCGGTGCGGCGGCTGGCCCCGCCAAGATGTTACGTCTGCAAAGCATCAGTTTTGGTGGTTTCGGCGCTCGGGAAGCCGGCCGAGCGCTGGGAGACGAGGCTTCGGCTCGCGC